CCCAGAACTTCCTACATAGCCTAGGCTGGCCAGGAACTCTAGAGTCTTCTTACTCTGCCTCCCAAATGCTGGGAATATAGGCATGCGCCACCATACTGGGAAACATTTTTGTTCACATATTTTGAGATGATTTTATTGAATACATATTTATATTTTTCTAGTAATTCAACGAATTTTTCTTTGAGATTCTGATGTATTTACAAGCATTTGCTAGAACAGCATAGAGGAATCTCACTTTTCACATAGTTTTTTCTCAATGTTTAAGGTGTGCAGAACTATTGTACAATATCAAAATTAAGAAACTGACATTAGTATAAAATCTGTATATAACAATGTCATTTTGTCATGCCTCTGCAGTCAGGATACCTATATATCAGGATACCTATATATCATCCACCACTCCACAGATCTTCTTTATGATGCCCCTTGTAGCTTCGTATCTTCTCACTCCATCATCGTTGATCCTTGGCACCCATTACCCAATCTCCATCTCTCCCTATTTTGAAAATTTAAGAATTTTTTTTGAGGTGGGTCTCACATTTTCTCTGACTGTCCTGGAACTCACTATGTAGAACAAGTTGACCTCAAACTCACCAAGATCTGCCTGTCCCTGCCTCCCAAGTGTTGAGATTAAAGACATGTACCATCATGCCAGGCCAAGAATAATTTTAAAGTGGAAACATAACATATGACTTTAATTTTTTTATGTTCCTGAAGAGATGCTGCAGAGGTTAAGATGCTCTTCCAGAAGTCCTGAGTTCAGTTCTCAGCACCCACACGGTAGCTCACAACTGTCTGTTAACTCCAGTTCCAGAGGATCTAACATTCTTTTTTGGTTTACCTGGGTACTAAGCACTCATACAGTATACTGACATACATATAGACAAAACACTCATACACATACAAAAATTGAAAACATTTTAAATTACATATATTTAGTGTGTGTGGTGGTGATGGTGGTGGTTGCGGTGGAGGTGGTGGTGTATGTCTGTCTATCTGTCTGTATGTCTGTATGTCTGTATGTATGTACATGTGTTCTCTTGCCAAAGTGTTCATGTGGAGGTTAGATAGCAATCACCTTGATGGAGTTGTTTGTCTCCTCCCACAATGTGGGTCTTGGGGATTGAACTCAGGCCCTTTGGCTCGATGGCAAGCTTCTTTACCCACCGAGATATCTAACAGGCCCAATATACACTGTTTGATATGTTCCTTAGTACAATGCCCCAGAGATTCATTCAAGTTGTTTGTACTCATAGTACATTTCTTTCCACTGACAAATAGTATACCATGGTGTCAATGCAAAGCAGTTTGCTTGATCATTCACCCTTTCTATTATAATAAAATTTTCTCTCTTAAAGTCTTTTTTAGAATTGCTAACTCTGTGTGCTGATTTTTACTTAGTGCTTGTATAGTTTAACTTTTTGTGTCTTTTGGTTCTGAAGTTTCTCTTTGCTTATTCATCAGCATGCAGTTGGATTTTCAAATTTGGATGGGATTTTTTAACTAATGGATGCAGTCTATTTTCACGCGTTGTGGTTACTAATCCATTTGAATTGTGCTTTGTCCTTCCATTTCAAAAGCTCCACATTCATCGCTCATTTTCTTTTGGATTTATTTATACTAATACTTGTGAGCGTTTGGCGCCTGAGCTGGCTTTTGGGAACCTATTCTTCCTGCTAGGATGCCTTGCCCAGCCTTGATGCAAGGGGAGGAGCTTAATCCTGCCTCAACTTGTTATGCCATGTTTTGTTGACTCCCATGGGACAGCTGGCCCTTTCTGAACAGAGATGGAGGAGTGGGTGGGAGGGTAGATGGAAGGTTAGGGAGGGAGCTGAAGGAAAGGAGGGAGGGGAGACTGTGGTTGGTATGTAAAATAAATGAAAAAAAATAATGAAAAAATAATAGTTTGGGGTCTCAATGATTTGCACTAACTGATCTTATATTAAAAATAAAGCTCATTCAAAATCTGTAATTCTCTTGGTTTATTACTTTAGATTTTATTTTATTTTTAACTCTGTGTATATATGTATGTCTCCATGTGGGCCTGTGAATGTGGTGCAGGTGCCCGGAGGCCAGGACCTGGAGTGGCCTAATGTGGGTACTGGGAACCAAGCTGCGAACCTTCACTGCCGAGACATTCTACAGGCCCCTCTACCTTTTTCTTTTATTTCTGTGTCTTAACCTCAGACCCGAGGTATTTTAAAATTTCAAAATTCGAGTTTCATATGAGGCAATTTTCTATTTTCCTCCTCATCAGGACACTGTGGGAACTAATTTTCTTAAAAGCCCAAAGAGGCTCAGGCTTTTCCAGATCACTTATTTCAGCTACAGGATTCTTAGTCTAACTAAAGAGATTAGGCAAGGTGGTAAGTTCAACCTATATTACAATTCAGTAATAAAGAAGTTTAATTTGGAAGCCTGTGCCCTCAGAGGTATTCTGAGGGCTCTAAGTGGAAGGGGTCGTTATACTAAGTTTCTTTATCTTTTCTGTTGAATCCCCCTATTCACGCCTGCTGACTGTTTTCACTAGTTCTCAGTATTCTTAGAAAAAAAATATCTGACCCCACCCAACTCGTATGGAATGTTTCAGTGGTCGTGTTTTAGGGATAATAAAATAACACACAGCTGATGCCCAATTTCTAGTGAGTACTGCTGTTATTTTGCTAAATTGAATATTTTAAAAAATGCTGTTTCAAGCTGTAGACATCTCTACTTTCTGCTCTTGATTTTTCACACGGGACATGATTTAAGACATTCAAATCTAGATTTTAGGAAACATAATATCTATTATAAGATTTTTTTGCTCATTTAAAAGTCAAGATACATACATTTTGTACAGAATAGGTTCCATTTAAGGGGATAAAAGTTTCCAGTGTCAATCTGAGCAAAGGGAGATGACTGAATTACCTTGGCAACTGGGATTAAGCTAGCAGCTTCTAGTGTGCCCATCTGCAGTGTATGAGCTCAAATACACACTCTAATTCATGCAGAAAAAGATATGACTATGAGCCCAGCCTTGATTCAGCGGGAGGAGCTTGGTCCTACCTCAACTTGATTGTTCCGTATTTTGTGCTACCCCATGGGAGTCCTGCCCCTTTCTGCATGGAGATGGAGGAGGACTAGGAGAGGGAGAAATAGGAGGTGGGGGAGGAAGGTAATGAAAGAAGATGAGGGGAGGGAAAATGTGGTTGCTATGCAAAATAAATGAAAAAATGTTAATAAATAAATAATGAATACTTACTTTTAAAAAAGGCATGACTAGGTCAGGACTGACATCTTTTCAGGCTTTCCTTATTAAGGAGTCAGAAAACCATGAGTCTGTTCTCATCACAGCAAATCTATTACTTACTGCATGACATGGGTGTAATAGCAGTAAAACTGGGTAAGAGCAATTCTAGGCTCCAAAGCCTTCATTCAGCTCTGCCCTAGAAGGAGGAAAACTAAGGAGTAGGGGTGAGGATATAAGAAAAACCTCACCTCAGCCCCCTCTCCAAAGGAGGGCTGAGCTGACCTCTAGCTTTGAGAAAGCTACCAGGGGTCAGCACCAAACGTCATTCTATTGCTGATTTTTTTCCCATCTTAAAGGAGAATTCATTTGGTCACTATGTGGGCCCTCACAGTTGTCTAAGGGAGCCCTTCCCTGTCAGAACTTGTCAGGTGGCAGGTCTTGGGTGTGTGTGTGTGTGTGTGTGTGTGCGCGCAAGCATGTACTTGTGTACACGTGTCTTATTACCACTCCACTTCCTCATTCTTCATTTCAGGCTTGGTTTATTAAAACTTTCAAACAATTGCTCTCATGTAATCCCTACCCCTAGGCCCATGCCAGCTTCACCCATCATGCACATTGCCCCTAGATTACTTTTCATTTTTACGTGTGTGTTCATGTGTGTGCACATATGTGTAGAGACCAGAGGACAAACTGAGGTGTCATGATCAGGAATTCCATTCCGCCTTTGATACAGGGTCTCTGGAGCTCATCAATTAGGCTACTAGACTGGCTGGCCAGTGAACCACAGGGATCCTCCTGTCTCTTCACCCCCAGGGCCAAGATTACAAGTGGGCATTATCACACCAAGCATTTTTAAGTGGGTACTGGGAATCAAACTCAAATCCTCATACTTGTGAGGCCAAGACTTTACAAACTGAGCTATCTCCCAGCCTTGTGTTTCCTTTATATACATATATTTTTAAATGTCCTGTTACTCCTTGAATGACAGGATATTTTGGTACACAAACTAGTGGTTTAAGACCTTAAAAATAAAACAAAACAAGCAAACAAAATAACTTCTTCACCCTAAGTTCTCATCTTTCTCTTTTCTCACTTTTCTTCCACAGCTTCTATTTTTCTGTTTCAGGGAGATTACCTTCCTCCCTCTCATAGGAACAGAATTCTCACCCCATGCCTTTCTTCAGACCACTTCTCCCTTCCAGGACACTCTCCTATTCTGTCTTTCAGGCTCAGTTTAAGTGTATCCTTCATTGAAGTTCTGCTTCATCCTCCCAGATAGCAAGTATCCGACACTGAGTAAATGCCCACATACTATTAGCAGTCCATCTGTATTCATGTCCCTTACCTCTGCAGCTAGACTTTTAATTCTAGCATGAGAACAAGTTCTTCCGATTTGCAACACACAACTTTATTGATGATACACATATGAAGTCTTTGGTGACAAAATTCAAGTCAAAACAAGTAAGGGCAGAATAGGCCATTCACGAACAGGTTCATTATCAACTCACATAGAGGACTTGGGAAAAAGATTCCACTCAAGCAGCACAATTCAAATCACAAATGTGTCTTCAGTACTATAGGACTACAGGACTATTTGGTATTCAGAAAATGGTTCCGCTTAAAGCTGGTGACTGCCACAAACAACATCACTCTGAATGACACATTATTCTAAGCTGGCAGCTGAAAGAACTCCTTTACTATACACACAAGGAGGAAAGCAGTAACATCTCATTTTTAATGCTTCCAGACTGAAAAACTGAGACATCACAGATCTTGAGGGCACAAATCAGAATTTGTTTACCAGTTTGATGACTTTCACTTTCACCAAGAGGTCGTGGTGATTTGCCAAGGCTCGGATTTTCTTAACACACACCCCAGATGTAGTACACAAATAAAACAGGGAACCCTTGTTGAATTCTCTGTAGTTGAACACTTCCGCTCTGAGGTTGTCAAAGATAATCTCAAACAGAGTAAGAGCATTAATAAGAATTTCCGACTCCACGTAAGAATTATAAAGGGAACTAAGGGATGACGGCACCTGGGTACCGAGAAGTTTCTTGAGCATATCCGGATTTTCAGCAAAATTTGAAAGTATTTTCAAAATTTCGATCTTGATTTTTCCACCCCCCTGGGATAACAGACGGAAAAAGTTTGCGATGGAATTGACAAGCAGGTGCTGGTAATCATTAGTGATAGTCATGTTTGTTAAAAATTTTAGCCCAACGACCTGTACTGCCGAGTTCAGGTTAGAGGCCATGATGTCATCCATCACTTTGTTCATGTACACCTGCAGTCGGCCCTGGTTTTCGTAATTTTCACTCAGGTTATTCATGGCCATTAAGGCTTTTTCCTTAATATGGGGGTCAGTTTTGTTGATCATGTTTGCAATAATTGGGAGGCCTCCCAACTTTCGAATTGTTTCTTGATTACATGAATAATTGGCATTGTTGCTCAGGGTGAGCAGGGCTACTTGCTGGATGAAAGGATAATCTGATTTTTGAAGCAAGGCTAGGACTTTCCTGAGATCTCGGACACCCAGAATCTCATCAATTTCATATGGAAAGGGGCGCTTATGCATGGGAATGGTTCTCTTCCCCTTCCCTCTTTGCTGAACCTCAGGTTCAGAGTCAGAATCTGACTCTGTATCAGTCCACCCAGACTCCCTCTCCTCAGATTCAGGAATCTCTGCTAGGAAAGCCTGTCCGCCATTAGCAGAAGCTGCAGCAGCTGCAGCAGCCCCATCACCAGGGCGGAAGCCCATCCCCAATTCATCCACTTCAACCTTGTTTTTTCTATTTTTGCCCTTGCCTCCATTCCGGTTCCTGTTTCCACCTTTGGGCACAGCGCCAGCGGCTGACCCAGACTTAGGTATAGCTCCAGTGTGAGCTCCAGCTTTCTTGCTAGTGGCTGCTGTCTTAGAGGACCCTGAATGCCCAGGAGTCTGGGCAGCCCCAGAAAGCATTGGCAGAGAGGCCCCAGCCACCATGGCAGGTGTTGCCATTCTAGGAGCCTCTGTGGCTTCAGTAGGTGCTGCCACCCTAGGGACCTGCATGACATCTGTGGTTGTTGCCCTCTTGGTAGATGTTGGTGCCCTAGCAAATGCTGCCGCCGCCATTGGAGTTGTTGGCCCCATGGGAGACACTGCTGTCCCAGAAGGGACTCCTGTCATGGCAGGCAGTACTGCTCCAGAAGGGACTCCTGTCATGGCAGGCAGTACTGCTCCAGAAGGGACTCCTGTCATGGCAGGCACTAACTACTGCTCCAGAAGGGACTCCTGTCATGGCAGGCACTGCTGCCCCAGAAGGGACTCCTGTCATGGCAGGCACTACTGCCCCAGAAGGGACTCCTGTCATGGCAGGCATTACTGCCCCAGAAGGGACTCCTGTCATGGCAGGCATTGCTGCCCCAGAAGGGACTCCTGTCATGGCAGGCATTGCTGCCCCAGAAGGGACTCCTGTAATGGCAGGCACTGCTGCCCCAGAATACTGAACTGCTCTGGGAGGCACTACTACCCAAGGAGACTGGGCTATCATCCCAGGATGCACTGTTGCCCCAGAAGACTGGACTGCTCTGGGAGGCACTGTTGTCACAGGAGACTGGACTGCCCTAGAAAGCATTGCTGCCCCAAGAGACGGGGGTGGAAGGGGAGGCACCACTGTCCCAGGAGACTGGGTTACCCTGGCAGTTGCTGGCCCAGTAAAGTGGGCTGCCACGGGAATGTAGACTGCCCCGGGGGGAGCTACGACTGTCCAGGAAGGTGCTGCTTGCACAAGAGATTGCACTGCCATGGTTGGTGGTGCTGGCCCAGTAGACTGGGCTACCCCAGGAGGTGCTACAGCCCAGGGAAGTGCTGTTGGCACAGAAGGTGCTATTGATGGGGAAGGTACTAATGGCCCAGGACACTGGGCTACCCCAGGAAGTACTGCTGGCCCAGGGAGTGCTGTTATCCCAGTAGCCTCCATGGTACCGGGAGCTTCTGCCACTTTGGGAGTCACTACTATTTGTGGGGCCTCCGCAGCTGTGGGAACCTCTGCCACCTTGGGTGGGGGTGTAACTGCACTGGCAGCTGAAGTCGCGACTACTGGTTTGGGAGTAGGCTCAGTCCCAGCCCCCTTGGCCTCCTGGGCCTTACTTTCTGCCCCATTCTGAACCTTAGGGCTGGGTGCAGCTGGCACCATTTTTTCAGCTGCAGTTGTGGCAAGAGTGGATGTTTTCCCCTGGGCCTTATTCATTGTCTCAACAGTGACAGAGGCTGGGGGATTGAACCCTGGCCCAAGGTCAATTGTGAATCCTGCTTTTAGTCCACCTTTAGCCCTGGCTCCAGTACCCACCGAAGCCCGGTTCTTGGATTTGGCTGGTCTCTTCTTCTTCTGGTCTTTTCCTCTAGTGTATTTGTAGACACAGTACCAGGCGCTAGCCCCGATCACTATTCCAGCAGCTACGCAGCCAGCATCCCGAGTACGGCTCATGATACACGTGCAACAATTCTCTGATCCAGATTGCTTAAGTGGAACGAACGTATGCACCAGTCAAAACGAGGCTCTCAAACTTGGGTTTGAAAGGTCTTCTGAGGCAGCAAACTGAGCTGGACCTAGTAGGGGTAAACGTCAGAAGTGAGAAGCATTGTGGTTCCGTGCTCCCCTGTCCAACCTTCCTTTATCCCAATCCTCTGATGAGACGCAAAGGACAATGGCACGGGGTTTTGATCCTACGTAATGTGATGGCTTTGTGGGAGCCTAGCCAGTTTGGATGTTCACCTTCCTAGAAATGGACGGACGGGGGAGGTCCTAGATCTTACCACAGGGTAGAAAACCCTGACTGCTCTTTGGACTGGAGAGGGAGGGGGAGAGGAGTGGGGGGAGGGGGAGAAGGGTGGGAGGAGGGGGAGGGAAATGGGAGGCTGGGAGGAGGTGGAAACTTGTTTTGTTTTCTCCTTTTCTCAATAAAAAAAAGAGACAAAAAAAATAATTTCACAGTTGGGGGTCTCCACAACATGGGGAATTGTAAAAGTCCACAGTATTAGGAAGTTTGAGAACCACTGGTCAAATATATTAAGTTCTTGAATCTTGGAGCATGTAGTCTGTATGGTTTCTTAACCTAGTGACTCACCAGAGATTGTTCATTTAGGAGGGTTTGGGTGATACTTTACCTTAAGGTCATAACTAATTGTAATTTTGTTATACCGCAGGAACTTTCTTACCCCCTAATAAACCAAATCCCTAAATGTAAAAAAAAAAAGTGAGAAGCACAGGGTTTGGGCTCACTTTGTGTCTAACCTTAGGGGAGCGCTTGGGGACACAGGTGTGGAAGCCTGCACTTGTTGATGCGATGATCAGCTCGAGTCTTATCTTACCTCTAGTTCACCTTCCCAGTGCCAGCATCTACCATTTAGTTGTCCCTAAGTGGGGAGGGCATGGAAATCTGGCAGAGTGTGAAATCTGAGATTCACCTGTGACACCTCCACCCCCATTCAAGAGCCCTCAGATAGTGCACATATACATACCAAGTTCCTGGGATCAGGAGCAATTCCCGCAGTGCTGGCAGCTGCAGAGCCTAAAGGTAGAGGGATCTGTGGGTAAATGACAGGTGGCTTTGAGCCTTTGGCAGAGAGACAATTGTTTCTCCCCTGATTTGCATTCTGATGGGCCAAAAAAACTCTCAGGACTCCTCCTTTTCTCCCCCAACGATTAATTTAAATTAGAAATCCCATATGCCCCATTCCCTGCACCAGAAAGGACAGGCCAGAACAAAGGTGTCTTAAAGAAAGAAAACATGCAGGGGGAGTTGTGTTGGTGCTATGTTCTGGCCTCTGCCAAAGGGGATGCTCACCCCGAACACTGACCTGCAAGAATTCTGAGCTCTTTCTCCTTCCTTTAGTTCAGCCTGAGCTTCATGCTGAGGGCAGGCTGAAGGGCAGAAATAGAGACTGCAGGCGCAGACTAAGAACCTGGTGGACATATCAGCATCCAGAACAAGAGCCCCAGTGTTAGCCTTTTTCCATCTGCACACCACGATGACGAAGAATTCCACCTTTCAATTCCTTTAATTCTCCTTGCCTCTCTCACCATCCCCCCATCCCCCCATCCTCGCCCCCCCCCCCCCCGTTTGCGCAGGCTCCCCAGGCACTCAGTGTCCCCTTCTATTTCGCCCCACCCCCTGGCCGCCATTTTTCTGAGACACTGCGCCACACCCCTTCTGCTGCATCGAAGCGGAGGGGGCGAGGTGAGAGTGCTGGCTAAGTTGCAGCATGGGGGATTCCTGCCAGATATTCTAGTGTTCTTCGCCTATGCTCAGCCATTCTTCAGCCCCCACCTTTCTGCAGAACAAGGGCCGCTAGGCCCACCTCCTCAGTTTCAGGGTCCTGATTTTCCGTGGTTTCTCTGCTCTGGGCCCCACTTCCCTCCCCCACCCCAAATCCCCAGAAAACCGCCATTTCTATAGCCTGAATACCCGAATTCCTTTTTTTCAGGGCTGAAAAGACCAGGATGAAGGGCTCTGTGGGCCGCAGGTGTCTGGAAAGCAGCCTGGCAGTTAGCATGACGATTTAATACCAGTTAGCTTACGGTCCCCCAGCCTGTGAAGCCAAATCCGCCATATCTTCTACAGAAGCTGGCACACCCATTTCCTAGCACCCTAGAAGGATGGGGGGAGGGGAGGGGAGGGGAGGGAAGGGAGGGGAGGGGAGGGGGCAAGGTTGTGGCAGCCAGGTAGTCTGAAAAGGGAAGATGGGAATGAAAAATACCGATTGGTTCCAAATTTCAAGCCCATCTGGCCACCCGATCCCCACCCACCTCCTTGCTGGGTTTGAATGAGCTGCCACGTTTATTTCTCTTGCCTGCCCTTCTCAAAACAGCACCGTAAGTAGGGAACCGAGCCTGAGCCTCTAAAACAAAACCGCAAAACTGCTGCGAGAGAAGTAAGCGTTTTCTTCCATAGAAGGGATAGTCCTTTCATTCCCCTACTCCCCTCTCGTCCGCTGCCCCGGAGATCCTAGGGTCTGGAAAACCGCGGCCAGCAGAGGATGCAGAAGCACCTGAGGCCTTGACATTCAGTAACCCTAGGCTATTTGCAACTCCCGGGTCCCCGAGAATGTTCATTCTCACACCCACCTGTCCAGTTCTGAGGTAATTTTCTTCTCGCCTGGCAGTGTGCAGCGTTATGGCGTTGGTATCCGGAGGAAGATGGCAGAGATGGCCGTCAAGGCTTTAAGTACCTTTGCCCACGTCAGCTCTTGGTCACGTGAGGGACTCTTTGCCAGTAAGCTTAAGTCCCGGAATTCCACTCCCACCAAGAGCAGGAGCTCCCTCCTTTATCCCCACTCCTGCCTTATCTCACCACATCAGGTCCTGTCAATCATTCATTGCCTTTGTAACATCAGGCTAAAAGCAGCCCCTTCTCCCTATTATGAATTTGCTCTCTCTAGTTACTGGGGAGGAGCTGCAGCTTCTGGGAGAATTGTTGACATTTTTCACTGCCCCCTCCCATTACTCCAAGCTTTCCCCTCCATTCCCCATCCTCCAGTCCCTGCCCAGTTCCCACTATTCCCCTTGTGGTTGAGTTTCTGCTCCTGTTTAGATAAGGGGTGAGTATCAGAGAGGAGACAAGGATTGGAGGTGAGATCTGTACTTCTGGAAGACTCCTTTGTTTAAAAAAACCATGACTACAGCTTTATTCTTACAGGAAGAAGATACAATAAGACAAGAACTAAGTGTGGGAAATAGTATCAAAACCTGGCAGAAACGTTTTGTTTAAAACCAGAATTTCTCTCACGTTAATTTTGACTAATTTTTATCACACAGAAAATGAATTCTAATGGCCAAGTGGGAAATAGGTTTCTTTTCTTTTCTTTCTTTCTTTCTTTCTTTCTTTCTTTTCTTTTTTTTTTTTTGGATTTTTCGAGACAGGGTTTCTGTAGCTTTTTGGTTCCTGTCCTGGAACTAGCTCTTGTAGACCAGGCTGGCCTCGAACTCACAGATATCCGCCTGCCTCTGCCTCTTGAGTGCTGGGATTAAAGGCATGCGCCACCACCGCCCATCTGGGAAATAGGTTTCTAAGCGTGCTAGGCATCTGAGCATCTAAAATGTATTTTCTTGATGATATCAACATATTTCTATATCATCTGTAATTGATCTGTGAAGATGCATTCAGTTGCCCTGTCTTATTTATTTTTGATAACTAATATCCTACTTTTCTTCTGGTATAGCTTTTAAGCTGAGTAAATAAATGATCTCCTCTTGTCCAGTTAGAGAAATACATTTATTTAACATTATCATGCTGTTGCTTTCTGCTGTGTGACTGTCCTGTAACCATGACAATTCCGAACACCTGTCCATGGGTTAGGTTCCTGCTCAGTGATTCATCTTTAGATGGAAAGAAGAGTTTCGGGGCTAAGAAAAGTAATCGTGTGAAGGATGCAGGATTGTAAACTCCTTCTTGCCCTGGTAAGAAGCATAGAAGCTGTTGTCCCAAGACCCCCTCCTACACTCCTGAGCCCTATATGTTATTCCCTGCACGCAGTCATCTGAGTCGGTTGCTTACTCCCAAAATATCCATGGACAGGTCATCAAAATGGTGACATGGGTGAGTGCCTTTAGCCACTTACCGTTCCTCTCTTAGGGGTAACTCAGCAATGCATGGAAGAGATTGCTCTCTTCCCATCTGCTTCTGGAGCTGAATATTTCAAAGAATACAAAATTGATTGTTGGGGAAAGCAGTTGTTAAATTGGCTTGATGTATATCCTTTCACACAGTGTCGTAGTGAATATTTTCTTTAATATTCCATGTACTACTACTACCTGATCTGAAAGTTACAGTCTGACGGACCTCTCCCCTCTGGCTCCCTTTACTTCAAGCAACCAGTAGGATCCTAGTTTTGCTGCAGAGTAACTGCCAGTCCTCATCTACTTTGGCGCTCCATTAGCCAAATATATGTCGAGACCCGAACTACAATGTCGAGTGGTCACACTGATTAACTTCGATTAGGTGTTGATTCTTAGCTGTGGTCCATCTGAGTTATATTCATCCTAAAGGTTTTGTTTTTGATTGTGTGTGGATCTAAAGTGATTTTAGGAGGTGGAATTAGAGGTTCTTGATCCTGACAGTTTTTCAAGGGGTCTACAATCCATCTCTCTGATATTAAATGCTAATAGAATGGCCTAACAATAGTTTGTGTATTCGTTGAGATTTAAGAATCTCTTTTGTCAGCCGGATGATGGTGGCTCACACCTATAATCCCAGTACTCAGGAGGCAGAGGCAGAGGCAGGAGGATTTCTGAATTTGAGGCCAGCCTGGTCTACAGAGTGAGTTCCAGAACAGAAAGGGCTAGACAGAGAAAACCGTATCTTGAAAAACCAAAAATGAAAAAAAAATTCTCTTTTGCCTAGTAATAGTATTACTAAGCATGTTTAAAGTCCTGATTTAACCTCCCAGCATGAAAGGAAAACTAAATCAAACAATAAGAAATACAGAAGATATATAGGAAGAAAGAATCTTGCAGCTTTGCTATTCCCAGCCACAGCTAACAATTTCTGTTTTTCTTTTAAAGCACATTTTAATAAGTACATTTATTCGTATTGATCAAGTTCAAATGAAGCAGAGATCATAACAGGAATAGGCATTGATCTCTGTATTATAATAGCAGTAGGTCTGCAGATTCACTTGTGGAACTTGGTTATTGTAAAATCAAGACTTCCTCCCTAGGAACATGCACGTGAGCGACTGTTCATTTTCACGTTACCTTTTCTCTTTCACACATGTCCAGCTATCTAATTTACATTATTTGCTAATTTCTCTAAATTATTAGTCATCTTCATGGTAAAAACACCACTTCTTTAAAAATGACTTTTTTTTAGATGTATGTGTGTCTGTGTGTGTATGCCACAAGTATATGGGTGTCTGTGAAGGCCATAGAGGAGGCTGAATTCCCTAAAGATGGAGTTGCAGCAGTGATGAGTGACTGGACACGGGTGTTGGGAGCGGAACTTGGTCCTCTGCAAGTTCAGCAAATACTTTTCACCCTTGGCTCATCTCTCCAGCCCAACCACTATTTCTAGAATTATAGTTTCTGATAGGAAACCTGATATTTAGGGGAAAATATTCTACTACTGTATATTTATTTTCTGCTTGCCGAGTTTTTGATATCTTAATAATTCCAATAGTTCTTAGGTGACACTGTGGTTTGTGTAGTTTTATATTAAATGTTTCCTCCTTTCTGTTTTTGAAATTTTATTGTTTTATAATTTCTTTACTTGTATTTAGGTACATTGGTATTTTGCCTGAATGTATGTCTGTGTGAGGGTGTTGGGTTCCCTGGAACTGGAATTACAGATGGTTGTGAGCTGCCATGTGGGTACTGGGAATTGAACCCTGGGTCCTCTGGAAGAACAGTTAGTATTCTTAACGGTTGAGCCATCTCTCCAGCCCTGAAATTTTATTTTTATTGTTACTAAAACAGGAATAAATTTTAAACAGGACAAAGATGCAGTGATTTTCAAGTATATGGATAAGTCTGAGTGTAAATTTATATTCTTTCTAAATTCATCCTTTATGAATTCCAAATGTTCAATCAAAATATTTGATTGAGAAATTCAATTTCCATCAAGAGACATTCTGGACAAGCACCTCGATTATAAAAAGGCAAGATTTGCCCAGCGATCTTGTTTGCTTTCAATTTCCAGGAGGATCTATATATGTTTTTCTTTGGGTTCACCTTGTTATTTGGCTTCTCTAGGCTTGTGAACTATAGGCTCAATGTCCTTTGTTTATGACTAGAGTCCACTAATGAGTGAGTACATACCATATTCATCTTTTTGGGTCTGGGTAATCTCACTCAGGATAGTGTTTTCTCTTTCCATCCATTTGCATGCAAAATTCAAGGTGTCATTGTTTTTTTTTTTGTTTTTTTTTGTTTTTTTTTTTAACCGCTGAGTAGTACTCTAATGTGTATATATTCCACACTTTGGTAGGGGTGGGAGGGGGGATGGGGGAAGGGGAGAGGGGGAAAGAGAAGGGAGAAGGTGAAAGACTAGGGAGAGCTTCGGGGAGTGGGAGGGTGGAGATGGAGGAAGGGCGGATATAGGAGCAGGGAAGATATCTACATTAAGGGAGCCATTTTAGGGTTGGCAAGAGACTTGGCTCTAGAGGGGATTCCAGGAGTCCACGGGGATGTCCCCAGCTAGGTCCTTGGGCAGCAGAGGAGAGAGTGCCTGAACTGGCCTTGCCCCACTATCACACTGATGATTATCTCGAATATCACCATAGAATCTTCGTCTGGCGACTGATGGAGATAGAGACAGAGACCCTCATCAGAGGAACGGGCTGAGCTCCCAAGGTCCAGTTGAAGAGCAGAGGAGGGAGAAGATGAGCAAGGAAGTCAGGACCACGAGGGGTTGGTCCACCCACTGAGACAGTGTGACTGATCTAATTGGAGCTCATCAAATCCAGCTGGACCGGGTCCGAATGAGCATGTGATCAAACCGGACTCTCTGAATGTGGCTGACAATGGGGGCTGACTGAGAAGCCATTGATAAAGGCACTGGGACTTGTTTCTACTGCATGTACTGGCTTTTTGGGACCTAGTCTATATGGATGCACAGCTTCCTAGGCCTGGATGTAGGGGGGAGGGCCTTGGAGTTCCCACAGGGAGGGGGAGGAAGGAGGGTGAGTGTGGG